GTAAAGTGGCTTCGTTGGTGTCCCACCTGTGAGCTTCGTCTTTGCAACAATGTGAAGTTTCCTGATGCTCTTTCCGCCATTTTCTCTTCATAGGTTGTCCTCTATTTCAGATAGGTTGTCTTGTCCTTTTCAGGAGGTGCTTTGTTTCACCTACAGACTCCTTATGCGCCGCCTGAGCCGTCCTGGTCTTTGGGGTGTTCTCCTTTCTCTCTCCTCCTCTGTCTGTAGTGGCCCCTTCGGTACAAATTGTTTTTCCAAGGATCTTTTTTTTTTCTGTTGATATTGGCTTCTGGGGGATGGGTCAAGGAGCTTCATGCTCTCCTCTGGCAGAGAGATTTCTGCTCTCCTCTGGCAGAGAGGTTTCTGCTCTTTTGGTTCTGGCAGTAGGTTTGTTCATGTGCAGCCATCTCTTTTTTTTTCTGGCAAAGAATGAGTTGGCGGCATTAAAGAGGAGTCACTGATGCTTGGTTGCTCGTGCCGGGGGTACATCATATATTGTTTGGTTGCGGCTCTTCACTGTTACCTGCGCACCACGGTCTCTGTGGCCGGGGATGTGCTTTGGGTTGCCCCGGTTTCCCTTGTTCCTTATTCCAGGGCTTGGGTCTCCCAGGTCATCCGCAGGGTTGTTTGATCCAGTCAGCCTGCAGTCTATCCTCGTGCCCATGACATTCGTAAGTTTGCTGCTTTGGCTGCCATCTTTAATGACATATCTTGGGCTGACATTCAGGCACAGGGATTTTGAAGGTCGAATAGGGTCCTGGCTGTGCATTATGTAATCAACATTCCTGGCCCTAGTTGGGAGTGTTTTGCTTTGGGTCGCAGGTTGCAGCCAGTTGTCTTGACTTCGAATTGAGATGCAAATGGCAGCTGCCTCCCAGGTAAGTCCCTTTTGTCACTTTTCATTGTTTAGGTAGCTCTGGGGAGCCATAGGGACTCCCCACAGAAAACCAGCGTTGAAGGTAATGACATGCCACTTTCTGGGTGAGCCCCGGGGGACCCTCCAGCACTCGCCCTCCGGTCAACAGTTTTCTCCTTTTTTTTTTTTTTCCTATGCTCAGCTCAGAACTGAATGCTGTAGCAGCCGGCGCGGAGGGTCTGGGGGCAGGGGCTGTGCAGATGATCGGCGCGACAGGGTTAGTGACGTTTGCTTGTTTGGCAGTTTTGCCTACCTGTTCAGGTTTTAGTAGAGATTTTTACCATGTGGGATGTTTGTTACGCCTACCTTTCTGAGTGCCAGACCCCGGTCAATGGCAGACATGGAATGCTTCCAAATACATGGAGGTTTCCATAGGCCATTGCTCCTTGTGCCTCTCTGAGGGGGGCCAGATTCTGACTTGTGGTCCCTGGTAGGCAAGAACTCCAATTGACTGATGCCACAGTCTAATACATACATATCGTACAAACTCCGCGGAGCCTCCTGGGCTCACCCAGAAAATCGCGTTTCATTGCATTCGACAGTTTTTTTTTCTCCTGATTTTAGGTGTTTATTTAACTAAACATTTGAAAATATATGATCACTTGAAGAAGACAAATTAATATATTACCCATTTAACAGGTCATCTGTTTCAGAAAATAGAGTAACAGTGTCAAGTCTTAAAGCAAAGTCCAAATTTCAAGGATTAATGAAGTCGTAAGTTAAAGTAGAGCACAAATATGTAGCCTTTGTCAGCTGTATCCCTTCTTGGTTATTGTTCATACCTGTTCTATTTTAGTTTCTTGCTGTAGCTTGTCTGCTTGTGTGCATGGCAGCAAAAATGGAGAGTAATTTGAAGTTGGTGCTTAAGGAAAAGTTAGGGGAGTAAGAATGCATCTTAGTCTCTTCATTTTAGACAACATTCAGTTTACTAAGAAAAGTTGAAAATCCTTCAACCATTCACCTAGATGTAAGTGATGTTAGTTATAAGCAAAGTTACCTTGATCTATACTTGTCTTGAATACTTGGTTTACAACTAATAATTGTAATTAGATACTGTATTATATTTAGATGCAGGAAGGAACAAGTTAGCTTTTCCTAATGAACTAGGATTTTCTGAGACACAAATTTGCATAATTGCTATAACAAGGCACTACCATTACAATGTTAGTGTATTGGCTTTGTTTACATTTTGATGTGCATAATTTTTTTTTTTTTTTTTTTTTTTTTTTTTTTTTGTCAATACAGTAATTTGAAGGTAGAGTATGATGACTAAACTACACACCAGAAAATGAGGAAACAAGGATGTTTGGGGCCGTCCTGCGACCATTATCAAGTACATTGTGATAATGGTTCAGGACGGACCAAAACGTTGTCATCTACTCCTTTTCTGGTGTGTGGTTTAGTTGTCATATCTAAAGCCACATTATTGTGACTCATTGTCTGCATACAGTATGAACTTTTGAACTCCTAATTGATGATTTCAAAAGTGTGTTTTGCATCCTTTATCTTGTTCGCGATTAATATATTCTCTCTTCTGATTTTCAATGTGGGAGTTTGTCGTCTTAAATCGTTTTTTAACGTTTATACCCCTCTGTGGAAGACTACTTTTCGTGTACTCGTCTAGTTGAGCTTCGGCTCTTTGGTCCCGCCTCACAACTGTCAATCGACTGGTGTACAGATTCCTGAGCCTATTGGGCTCTATCATAGCTACATTTCATAGGGCCCAATAGCTTCAGGAATGTGGTGGCGGAAGGATGCATGCTCTGACAACCTGGTTATCTTGAGATGATTTCGGGGCTTAGCGTCCCCACGGCCTGGTCCTCGACCAGGCTTCCTTTTTGTTACACACATCCAGGAAGCAGCCCATAGCAGCTGTCTAACTCCCAGGTACTGTACTTATTTACTGCTAAGTAACAGGAGCATTCGGGTGAAAGAAACTGCCCATTTGTTTCTGCCTCCACCGGGGATCGAACCCGGAACCTCACGACTACGGATCCAAAGAGCTGTCCACTCAGCCGTCAGGCCCCAGCTGGACTTAGAGGGCAGTTGTGTGGGGCTTGTCATACTTCTCTTCTGACCGGAGTATAACAGATACACTACGACAGTTTTATATCATAGCTCTTGAGCCTCTCTCTCTCGTCCTTCCAGTTTGATTTCTAAATGGGAAAATAATTCATTAGTAAGTCCATCCTGACTTCTTCCATAATATGATTGTGCTTTACCCAGTTTGGTACTCTTCTGCTCAATCCAAATTGCCCTTCCGTTTTGTGGAAGGGCATTCTAGACACACGACACATTCTATGCACGTGTCTGATATGCATAGGTAGACAAGCCTCAACTTGGAGGGTGTTAAGTGTCTGCTCCCCATCCCTGGTTTTGGCCGCCAGTCAAAGCGGTTATCGGGGTGTTGCCACTGTTATATGCAAACGGCTACTAGGAGAATTAAAAGTCCTACTAGTAAGAAAAGACTACTAGTAAAAAAGCTACTAGTAGGAGTTAAAAGCAAGTGAGGATCAAAGTAAACAAACCACCTGAAGGTGCGAGTTCCCTGTCAGAGGTTTTACCCCCATTGACACCCCAGACACCCCCTGCTAGGATGATTAATAGCTGAAAGACAATGTTGCTGTAATAGAGCATGTGTTGAGTAGGTGTGACAATAGATTTAAATACTAGGGTGAGCAAGAAACGGATGCGTGTCCCAGGGTCCCCTCACATGCTACTTTGTTTTACAAACTTTTGGGGTTTTATTATTGCATCATTGTGTAGCATTCTGGACTTTATTATACAGCATATGTTCCCAGCCAATGTTCTCTTGGCTGGGAAGTCAAGAGACCATTGCATATTAATATAGGTAATATTGTGTAAAAAGTATATATATATTTTTTATTTTGAAGATCTCTGGAACCTAACTATTTTTTCCGTTTACTGTACCTCCAAGTTGGATCAGTGATTTTGTATATGGTTTATCTACAGTTTCACATGACTGTTCCCTACACAAATCAAGGGATGCCCAAATTAAATTTATACCAGTTTTTCTAGAAAAAGTGTGGGGCTCAACTTGCATTTTAGTAGCTAGATTATGTCATTTTTAATGCTTGGCATGTACAAGAGTTTGCATTTCTTTATTAAAAACACACAAAAACAAGACTAAAAATATTTTAGTTCCTAAATTATATCTTGTAGACAGGAAATCAAATGAAAATACTTGGTATAGCCAAAGGATTAAGGAGAAAATGTTTTAACACTTGTTTATATTACAAATTGAGGTAAGCATTTTACACCATGATACATTGTGGTGGAGCACTGCTGAGGATGTTTTACTTAAGTGCGTGTTAGAGCTATTGCAAGACTGTGCCATATAATCACCAGAATCTGTGTCAACTCTATCCATTGTAACCTCTTGTATATACTGTATATATAGGTAAATAAAAATAAGCATGATACTATAGTCAGTAGTAGTATGGAAGATGTGTGTGTGTGTGTGTACTGCATTCTTTAATGTTCTCTATACTATATTGCTATGTTAAATTTGGTAAAGATGATGCTTGACCTCAGTTTTAACATGCCTTACAAGTATATATTTGGGTCATTGGCCTTTATTAACATGATTTGTGTATTATCAGGAATGCTTGACCCTTAGGCTGCTAACAGATTATTTGCATTTGTTTTGGAAGACATAACGTACATTGCTAAACTCGCTGTTTATAAACAGCGATATAGTGGTACAGAGTAAAATTTAGTTATGTACTGTATATGAATTCTTGAAACCGAGAAGAAGAATTGTTTGTAGTTATTAATATTCAGAAAAGAAACTCAAAAAGGCACACTCACATTAATTGATTACTTCATGTATAACTGAATTCATCAGTCTAAGGGTTTAGTTAATATCCCGATCTCTTTAAAAACACACAGTGCAGTATACCTGAAGTCAACTAGTTTTACTTTTGTATTTGTGGTATTCTAAGGCTGCTTCTCCACTTAAAAATGTGTAGTAATTAAAACTACAATTTCCTGTTGTCTTTCTACATGCAGTTTGGTAGCTAATTGACTTCAGTAAATAAATATATAACATTAATATTACCAGAGCAGCATTGGCTCTGGCCCAGGTGCAAGCTAGCCCCATGGTGCCCACAACTGTAGAAGATCGAGGTGATCGGTCTATCACGGGTCGCATCAAAGTGAAGCTCAATGCCACACTTAATGCTGTAAAGGATGGTGTTAAAATACGCATTCAGAGAGTTAAAGAGGCAATCAAAAGGAAAATAAAAAATAAGGCGGCTAACGTGTCGTAAGTGAGGCGAATTCTTTTCAGTTTTAGGTGCTGTCGATCTAAAAGCTTCATATAAAAAAGTAATTGTGGTAATGTCATATAAATACGAGTAATGCACTTTACTGGAGGGCACGCCTAACCTTTCCACTCAGAGTTGTTGTTCTGGTGGAACCATGATATTCTTTGCATTATTTTGTATGGATGTTGATCTTCAATCACTGCATTAGAAATAACTAATAAGACTAGTGTGGTTTTTCATGGAAGCGCCGTCACTGCAAACGTTTAAAGAAATTGGCTTAATGGTGGCTGAAAATGTAATGCACTCCTTCCACATGCCAGCCCACATTGACACCAGTAAAATGATTTAGCATGAGAGAAAACAATTTATGTACTTGAAGCATGTCTCTGGTTTGTGTTACTTTCTCATGCTTGATAATGCAGATTGTTGAAGATGCACTAAATCATGTTAAGAAATTTGTAATGTAAGCTGAATAATATTTGTTAATGACATCTCTGAAAATAAATTAACTGAATAAGGCATTACAGGGGTACCTCGGTTTAAGAGTTTAATCTGTTCCAGGAGACGGCTCGTAATCCGAAAACTCGTAAACCGAAGCTAATTTCCCCATAAGAAATAATGGGAAATGAATTAATCCGTTCCTGATTACCCAAAAACCTCACTTCAAACTAAATTTTATACCTAATTCATCTAAATCTACACTATCAAAGTATGTTCAAGTTATTACTTACCCTTGCTGATGGAAGATGGTGAGGAGGGGGGGGGGTGGAGGAGAGGCGTTACTGTTTGGAAGGGAAGTCCCCTTCCATTATAACATCAGGCAGTGAGGACCTCTCAGGGATGCACTCTGGCACGTTTTGCCTGCATACCTCTAGGTCCTGGTTGTGGCTCACTGCTTGCTTGTCTAAGAATCTGTCTAAAGACACTTGTTTTTCCCTACATTTTAACACTTGTCTGTAGTAAGACATCACATTGTCATTTAAAAGGTCAATGCAATGGCCTGCTACAGCTTTATCTGGGTGAGTTTTTTCAACAAAATTTTGTTGAAAATTTATCACTGTACATTATCACTGTATAGAAACCTGATATTGGGGTTTCTTTACTGTTATAACCCAATGTAGATGTACAAGGAATGTCAAAATATGCCTGGAATGTTAAAACTAGTTTTACGTACCAGTGTTTAAGCTTTTGTTTTAGCACTGGGAAAAACGTCTGGCTTTGCTATACATAGTTGTCTAGGTGTGTTCATTGTAGATGTAAATGAATCTATAAAGTCTTCTATCCAGCTTGTTATTTAGTCTCATTTACACAATGCCTTGTTCTGAGTGAGCCCCGGTGGCTCCCCGATTCCCTCCGCACCTTCCGAGTAGTTGGTTGGTGGGTGTCATCTGTACATCTGCTTAAGAATTGGTGTAAGGGGCTGTAGGTGATTGGGAGCTCTGATTTTCCTACTGGAGAGGGAGATGTATGGCTAGTGTGCTTGTACTAATTCTGAAAAGATTTGCTAGTTTCTTTACATTATCATGGGAGTTCGTTTGACAGTTTTGAGGCTTTGGTTTCTATTAACCTGTATTGGTTTGCCAACTTTCACGATGCTTTCCTGGTGGAGTGGAGAAGCATCACCTGCTCTCTGCACTTCTGAGGGGGGCCGCCGGGTTCTGTGTGTGGTCTCGGGTAAACCAAATGAAACTCTATGGCTTGTGTAACCTAGTACTGTACTGTAGTTGGAAGCCATCTTGGCAAGATGGCTTCTGGGACCTGCCTAAGCTCATCCTGAAAGAGGCATTTCATTACATTCAATACTGGTTCTTAGAATTGCCCTGATAAAATGCTGAATATTATTTTAGATATATTGGAGGAGGTTGAAAGCTTTGGACAGGGGTGTGTTTACATTACAGTACAAGTACTGTACTTGCATGTTAGAAGAAATGAATTAACATATTTTTAGATTGATAACTTTGTAGCATGTATATGATTTTGCTTTTGTGTATAGATTTCTTTGTTGCTCTTTCTTATGCCATTTTTACTTTTCACAATTCATGAAGAGTAGTTTCCACTTTAGAGCTTCCTAATAATGAACTAAGTTTAAAGCTTCAAGTTATTTATGCGTGTTGAGGTGATATCTTTAGGTAAATTGTAACATTGGTATTACCAGAGCTGCAGTGTCTCTGGCTCAGGTACAGCCAAGTCCTGAGGTAGCCAAGACTGTTGAAGATCAAGAAGGTGTTCGCTCAACTGTGGATCGCATCAAAGTGAAGCTCAATGATACTGTTACTGCTGCAAAGGACAAAGTTAAAGAAAAAGTAGGCATTGACAAGGTCAAAGATAAAATAAAAGAAAAGGTCAAAGACAAAGTAAAAGAAAAGGCAGCTAAAAAACTGGACCCAACGGGTGGGCATATAAAGTCGTAAGTGGATCTTGACTGTTTTGGGTGCTGCTGTAACTTAAAATGCTTAGGAGTTGGCAGTAGACTTTCTAAATACTAGCAAGGTGCACCCCATGCTCACTTAAACCAAGCAAATATGCTTTTATACTTGGCATGCCTTTTGCTTGACACTGTCAATGCCTGCTGTTGCTATCCAGTGGGAATACCTTCATCTTAATGTAGTTTGGTAAAATGGCTTGCTTTCAGAGTACACTGCAATGGCTCAATATTTATTAACACAAACATTAAAAGAGGCATTAGCAAATATTGTACATGGTACATTCTAAACTTTGGGTTATAAATGTAAAGAAATTTGCCTGTTGAAATTAAGAAATTTATATTTACAGAACTTTAAAATTAATAATTACACTCTTAACCCCTAACGTGTAGTCAGTCAGTTGTTGACCAGCTGGGCCTACTGCAGTCGTAATTATTTACCAATTTTGTAATTGACCTGTTTTTCTAGCAGTGATGTAAAGATGGTTATAATGCATCTAGAGTACTGCATATAGATGTGATATAATTAACAAAGTCCCATGAACAAATTGTGCTCTTGTTTTTGTAAGTGTTTCCCATATGATGAGTCTGGTGTGGTTAGGGTAACATTTCTGAAAGACATTTCCAGACAGAAACATAGTGGCACAGAATCAGTGTGTTGTGAACAGCTTTACTGGCAGTATAGGTATACTGTACATATTGTCAGCCTATAATCAGTACTGCCATTTGTGTTCATTGACATTCAACATAATACGTTGTGGAATATAACAAGTGAATTGCCGAACATAAAAATCGTCCATGTTGAACACGTCCTCTCCTCATCACCGGTGTCGGCAAACCATGCATCTGGTGTCGATGGACATGGTGACCCCACTTCCTGAGGGACAGAAAAATTAGGAAAGGTAATTACCTAAGTGTAATTACCTAATTAGGTGGTGGTGTTGCTGTGCTGGTGACAGGTCACCTTAAGGTAAACAAATTTATGATTGATAACCCACGAAGTTATCATAATAGCACTGGAGATTTGAAATCGGGATGATAAACTGATAATCATAAATGTCCACAGTCCCCATGGATAATGGAGCATCTAGACGACAAATGAGGGCCTCATAACAATTGTAAGAGATTATAGTAAGAGCAGATGGATAAATCATGACTGTTCATACTCGGTGACTTTAACTTGAAATCCATAGACTGAGAGGCTTACATAGCAAGAACAGAGGACATTTGGCCAAGCAGATTTGTAAACTTCATCCTAGAGACATTCATGTTCCAACATGTTAAACACGCCACGAGAATGAGGGAAGGGGATATCCCATCGGTGTTGGATTTGACATTCAACAGGAAAGATGAGGTGGTGATCTCTCGGCCTATACTGATAGTTACTCGTGCTGTAAGAAGTTGCTTGCAATGTGCAACATCTTTATATCTTGTCTGTGATGGGTTATGTTTGGCATCTACAGATTCCATATGCAGAAAGAAATTCGGCAGTGTTGCCTGTGTTATCTCATTGAGTTGAGGATTAATACCAGGGGGTGAGCTACCCAAGGGTATGGGATATTTTTGTGCTACAAGGTGGTAGTGGGGGGGGGGGGATGCATGTTTGTAATAGCTAACAAAGGCAGCCTCTCCCCTTTAAGTCACAGTAATTACAGTACCTTTTCCCACTTGTAAGCACCAGCATCGACTCACTGGTTCTTACAGGTGTGATTAGAAGAACTGAAGGAGGATTTACTGCAAATACACCTCAAAACGGAGTCGAAGAAGTAAGAGTCCACTGTGGTGTATCGGATGATGTGGTGACATCATAGTGCCACGTGTGTGCAAAGACCAGTAGGGTGATGTCAAGAACAGTGCCCGAGTCAGTGTGCATGATTCGTGTTACTAAAGTATCATAGCTTATGACTTGTGTGACTCGGTGGGAGTGATTAGTCATCGAGCGAGTGCTTGCAAGTGTAACAGTGACTTGTCTTTAGTGGAAGAACTGTTGTGAAAGCTCTACCCTAGAACTTTGGGATAATCCGAGTAATTACCTAAGTGTAGGTACAATGTGAGAGCTACACTCGTGGTGTCCCCTCTCCCCAGCACACTTTGTCATATAACGCTTTGAAATTACTGACGGTCTTGGCCTCCACCACCACCACCTCACCTAACTTGTTCCAACCGTCTACCACTGTTTACAAAAGTGAATTTTCTTATATTTCTCCAGCAGCTTTGTTTCGTGAGTTTAAATCTATGACCTCTTGTTCTTGAAGTTCCGGGTCTCAGGAATTCTTCCCTATCAATTTTATAAATTCCTGTTACTATTATGTATGTATTGATCATATCTCCTCTTTCTTCTGTCTTCTAGTGTTTGCATATTTAATGCCTCTAACGTCTCCTCGTAGCTCTTGTCCTTCAGTTCTGGGAGCCACTTAGTGGCATGTCTTTGCACCTTTCCAGTTTGCTGATGTGCTGCTTAAGATATGGACACCATACAATCGCTATATATTCTAGCTTTGGTCTAACAAAAGTCATGAACAATTTCTTTAATATTCCTCCATCCATGTATTTGAAAGCTATTCTGAAGTTAGAAAGTGTAGCATAGGCTCCTCGCACAATATTCTTTATGTGGTCCTCAGGTGATAGTTTTTTATCTAGAACCATCCCTAGATCCCTTTCTTTGTCAGAATTCTTTAGAGATTTCTCGCATAATTTATAGGTTGTGTGGGGTCTATATTCTCCAATTCCACATTCCATAACATAGCATTTATTCACATTAAATTCCATTTGCCAAATGGTGCTCAATATACTTATTTTGTCCAGGTCTTCTTGAAGGGCATGACAATTATCTAGGTTTCTTCCCTATTATCTTAGCATCATCAGCAAACATGTTCATATAATTCTGTATTCCAACTGGTAGATCGTTTATGTAAACAGTGAACATTACCGGTGCAAGAACTGAACCCTGTGGTACTCCACTCGTGACATTCCTCCAATCCGATACATTGCTTCTGATTACGCCCCTTATATTTGTCAGGAAATTTTTCATCCATGTTAGAAGTTTACCTGTCACCCTTCCAATATGTTCGTTTCCAGAACAACCTCTTATGTGGAACTCTGTCAAAAGTGTTTTTTAGGTCCAGATAGATGCAGTCAACCCAACCAACTCTTTCCTGTAAAATCTCTGTGGTTCGATCATAGAAACTGAGTAAGTTCGTTACACAGGATCTTCCAGATCGAAAACCATACTGTCTGTCTGATATTATATCGTTTTTCTCCAGGTGTTCTACCCATTTAGTTTCAATTATTTTTCCAATATTTTGACTTGACACTTGTCAATGATACAGGTATATAATTAAGGGGGTCATCCCTGTTGCCACTTGTAGATTGGAACTGTTAGCCTTTTTCCACACATCTGCTACAACTCCTTTACACAGGGATGCCTGAAAAATCAGTTGAAGTAAAGTGCAAGTGGTGTGGCGATCCATGTGCAGATACAAAATATCTGGGTTGAAGGGTGTTACACTCACCCTGGGTAGCGAATGACCACAGGGCGGTGCTATCAGCCAGTGTGTACAAATGTTCATGTCAACCCAATGATTATGTCTGTGCAATATGCCTTTTGTATTGCAATCAGACATGTCATACTGGTGGTAGAAGGGTGTGCTGGTTTGTCATATAGGCCAATAGATATCTGTCATGCTAGTGGTAGAATGGTGTGCCGATTCATCATATGGGTCTCTCGGGTCTTCCCCCAAGGACTTCCGCCCTATTGCCCTCACGAGTTGTGTCTGCAAGCTCTTTGAACATATGGTTAACCTTCGTCTGATGTGGTTCTTAGAGCACTATCGCCTCCTTTCCCCTTCTCAATTTGGTTTTTGCAAATGCCGCAGCACAACAGATGTCTGGTGAACTTGGAGGTCTAAATTTGTACTGCTTTTGCTGCGAAGACCTCCGTTGTTGCCGTCCTTTTTGACCTGGAAAAGGCTTAAGACACTACCTGGCAGTCATATTCTGTCCCAACTTCATTCTTTTGGCCTTCGTGGGAATATCCCTCTCTTCCTCCAAAGTTTCCTCTCTCGTCGTTCGTTTCGAGTGAGGCCCGGTACCACACTCTCTGCCCCTTTTCGGCAATATGAGGGTGTGCCCCAAGGTAATGTTATGGGTACTACTCTTTTTTTTCTTGTTGCTCTCAATGGTCTTCTTTCCTCCCTCCCTTCCTTCTGGCATCTTCTCCACTCTCTATGTAGACGATTTTACCCTTTGCTGTCGGGGTGATGATTCGCCTCTCCTTCAACGGTGCCTTCAACTTGCAATTGATGCCGTGTCGTCTTGGGCCACTGATCATGGCTTAAAGTTCTCTGCGTCTAAGACTTGTGCTATGACTTATACTCGGAAGCGTGTCATTCTTCGTCCCTCTGTCTCTTTATGGACATCCCCTTGTGTACAAGGATTCCGCTGAGCTTCTGGGGTTAATCTTTGACACTCGTTTGTCTTGGTCAGCGCATATCTCTTACCTCCGTGCTGAATGCTCTAAGGCCCTTTCCCTCCTTAAGGTTTTGTCCCATACTTCTTGGGGAGCGGATAGGCGTACGTTCCTCTCTCTACATTCCTTATTCGTCCTGTCTAAACTCGATTATGGTTACCCTGCTTACTCGTCCGCTTCTCCTCCTACTCTTCGCTGTCTTGATACTTTGCACCATGCTGGATTGCACCTCAGCTCTGGTGCCTTTCGTTCGACTCCCACCCTCAGCTTGTATGTTGACACTGGTTTCCTATCTCTCCAGGACTGCCGTGATTGCTACTGTCTTCGCTATCTGGTGCAGTTCTTGCAACATCCTTCCTTTCGCCTCTGTCGTGCTTTGACTTTTACCCCTCCTGTAGTTCCTGTTCCTCTTCACCACCTCCCTCTTTCTGTCCGGCTATCTCGCTTACAGGTCTCTTTCCATTCGTCTTTCTCATATTTCTCCTGGTATTGTTCCTTCCTTGCCCCCGTGGAGGCT